GATGATCATGAAGTTACATTCTCCATCTCTTTTTATTAATTTTGGTTGAAAGTCTATTTTATTAGATACTAGAATGGCTACTCCTGCTTGCTTCCTGGGTCTGTTTGCTTGGAAAACCACCTTCCATCCCTTTACTCTCAGGTAATGTCTATCTTTGTGTCTTAGGTGTGTTTCTTATATGCAAAAATTGTTATGTCTTGTTTATGCATTCACTCTATTAGTCTGTATTATTTATTAGAGAGTTGAGTCCATTGATATTGAGGGAGACAAATTACCAGTGGCTGTTAGATCCTTTGATTTTGATATTGGTTGTTGTCATGTGTTTGTGCACTGGTCTACTTTTAGTATTGCTATAGTGAAGTTATTTATTTCCTGTGTTTTTCTGAATATAGTTAGCTTTCTTGGGTTGTATTTTTCCTTCTGGTATCTTCTGTAATACTGGATTTGTGGGTAGATATTGTTTAAATTTTTTTTTGTCATTGAATATCTTGTTTTCTATTAACCTGGGCTGACATCTGTGTTTTCTTAGGTCTTCATATCTGTCCAGGCACTTCTGGTTTTCATATTCTCTCTTGAGAAGCCAGGTATAATTCTGATGGATTTATATGTTACTTGGTCCTTTTCCTTTGCAGCTTTTAGTGTTTTATCTTTGTTTTGCATACTTACTCTTTTGATTATTATGTGGTGGGAGGATTTTCTTTTCTGGTCTAATTTATTAGGTTTTCTGTAGGAGTCTTGTGTGCTTACAGGCCTCTCCTTTATATTGGGGATTTTTTTCTATGATTTTGTTGAAAATATTTTCTGGACCTTGGAAACAGGAATATTCTTTTTCCTCTATTCCTATTATTCTTAGTTTTTTTTTTTTTTCTTTTCATGTTGTCTTGGATTTCTTGGATGATTTGTGTCAGGAATTGTTTTAATTTTTATTTTTTATATTAATTACAGTTTATTCACTTTGCATCCCAGCTGTATATCCCCTCCCTCATTCCCTCCAAACCCTACCCTCCATCCCTCATTTCCTCCCATGCCCTTCTCCAAGTTCACTAATAGAAGAGGTCCTTCTCCATTCCATCTGCTCCTAGCCTGTCAGGTCTATTAGCACTGGCTGCATTGTCTTCCTCCGTGGCATGGTAAGGCTTCTCCCTCCTCTGGGAGAGGTGATCAAAGAGTCATCCCCTGAGTCCATGTCAGATACAGTCCCTGTTCCCATTACTAGGAAACATACTTTGAGACTGAGCTGCCATGGATACATGTATGCAGGGGTTCTAGGTTATCTCCATGCATGGTCCTCAGTTAGAGTATCAGTCTCAGAAAAGACACCTGGGCCAGATTTCTTGGTTCCGTTGCTCTCCTTGTGGAGCTCCTGTCCCCTCCATGTCTTTCTATCTCCCCCTTCTTTCATGAGATTCCCTGCACTCTGCCTAAAGTTTGGCTATGAGTCTCAGCATCTGCATTGATACCCTACTGGCTTGAGTCTTTAATTGATGCTCTGTGGTATGCTCCTGTCCTGTTCCCTGTTTTCTCCCTCTTCTGATGTCTATCCCATTTGCCTTTCTGAGTGAGGATTGATCATCTTTCCCAGAGTCCTCCTTTTTTTAAGCTGTTTTAGGTGTACAGATTTTTATGTTTATCCTATATTATATGTCTAATATCCACTTATAAGTGAATATATACCATGTGTGTCTTTTTGCATCTGGGATACCTCACTCAGGATGATCTTTGCTAGTTCCCACCATTTGCCTGCAAAATTCAGGATTTCCTTGTTTTTAATTGCTGAGTAGAATTCCATTGTGTAAATGTGCCACAATTTCTGTATCCATTCCTCAGTTGAGGGACATCTGGGTTCTTTCAGGATTTTTTTTAGATTTAACATTTTCTTTGTCAGATATATCAATTTCTTCCATTGTATCTTCCACACCTGAGGTTTTTTCCTTCCATCTTTCGTAGTCTTTTGGTTATGCTTACCTCTGTAGTTTTTTTTTTCTTCCCTAAGTTCTTCCTCTCCTTTATTTCCTCCATTTGTGTTTTCTTTAATTTTTACAATTATTTCTTCAGATATTGAACTGTTTTGTTGATTTCCTTCACCTATCTGACTGTTTTTCTATCTGTTTATCTGCTTTTCCTTCAATTCTTTCACCTGTTTGTTTGAACATTCTTCTGTGTCTTTTATTTCTTTCAGTGATTTAATTATTTCCTCTCTGAAGACCACAAACTGTTTGGCTGCATCTTCCTGTATTTCTTTATGTATGGCCATAATCTGTTTGACTTTACCTTTCTCTATTTCTTTATGCATTGTTTTTGTTTCTTCCATTATCCTCTTCGTAAGGACACTTGTAAGGTCATCTTCTTGAATTTCACTTAAATTAGGGTGCCTATAGCTTCATAGCTTCTTGTCCCTGGATAACTGTGTTCTGGGGATGCCATATTGCTTTGGCTTTTGTTGGTTGTGCTTTTGTGCTGGCTTCTACCCATCTGGCTGTCTCAGGTGTGGACTGTCAGTTTCTGGTGCCTGCTGGAATCCTGAAGTGGGGAGAATCCCCTTGGCAGGAAGACAGTTGTTCCTGAAGGAGACCTCCTTAGCTTTTTGGGTTTGGTCCCCAAATGGCCGGTACTTCTTAGGAAATTTCTGCAGATCACCTCAGGTGTATGGTCCTGTCTGGTAACTATGGTAGTTGGTACTCATGGGGGCTCTCCTCTCACTAAGGGAAGTCCTGGAAACAGTTGCCCTGCCACTGGTTTTCTTGCTCTGAATTTAGTGAGCTGCCAATGTTCTTCTTACTCTGTGTTTGCTGGATGCAGCCCTCTTGAAAAATCAGGGAGTCCTGCGGTTTGTTCTGTTTAGCCAGGGAGAGAGGTTGTGCTTTTTAGCAGCATCTGGGTGCTGATCCCATGGGTCCAGTGTCTGTAGGATGGAGCTCTGTGCCCCAGTACTCAAGTAGTAATCAGTGGCAGGTGATTGCACCACACTCAGGTGTGTGGCAGGAAGCTAGAGCTTGAAGCTTGGAACTTTTCCAGGAATTAGCTGGGTGCCCTGAGGTCAGACCTGATATTTCCTTCACCAACAGGGAAACCCAGCCTCTGGTGCTTTGGGGCCCACAGTTCTGTCTGGGATGGTAAGTCAGGAGCACAGGTGGGTATCTGGACTGGTGGCTGAGTTCCTGCTGGAGCCTGGGACCTTTTCCAGGGATTGTCTGTGTGACTTGAGGTCAGTTGATCCTGATTGGTTCTTTCACTGTAGGGTTTTTCTCTCTACTGGAAAAGCCAGTCTCTGGTGTTGTGGAGCCCACAGTTGAGTCTGGGATGGTGATCGGAGCACACAGGCATGTGGTTTGGGGTGGCGACCTAGCACCTGCTGGAACCTGGGAAATCTTCTGGGTTTTCCCCTTCCCTGGGAAACACAATCGTTGTTGTTTTAGGGCCCACAGTTTGGCCTGCTGGTTACTCTGCAATCACTGCTGTCCTGCTCATCAGACCCAGTGTCCTCTCAGCACCGCCAACTTGGATCCAAGCCTCATAAGCATATTTTCTACAAAGCAATTGCCAGCTATCTCTGACCGATGGGCAGCAAACGTTCAACACTTGTCTTTCTGGTTCACCCAAAAATGCTCACCTGAATTATGAAAGCATCTTTCCTGTTACCTAAAACATAAATTTAAAAAAGGATTATTTTAAAGAACCTAGTAACTGCAAGTGGATATTTCAGATAGATTGAAGCACATTTTTTTCTCATTGTGACATATACATTATTTTATCAATTCTTAAAGTATAGCTTTCACATTTTAATGTCATTGGAGTTAGGATGCATCTTATACTTGATCATGACTTAAATTCAATGAAACACGATAATGATTCAATTTAAGATCAATGTAATAAGGCTATGAATTCACAATCCATTGAAGCATGACATAGAATTAAAGCAAATTTGGATAAGTAAATGTAAAGCTGAGAAAATATTCAAAAATTATGAAAATAATCATAATTTTTATACTACACAAAATGAGAAATCTTTAGATAAGATACTGAGGAAAGTATGTGATGACAATTACTTGATGCATTTAGTTTCTCAGGGATGTGATTCAGTATCAGAGAGGATACTTAATTTTCAACTAGGCTGTAATAGTATTTAGATAATTATTGATTGATATGTGAAGCAATGCAAAACTGACTGCTGCATGCTGTCTTTACAAATTTCCGTACCTGCTTGGCATCAAGGGGAACTGGTAAACTTTATAATTTCCTCCTGTGATTTTACTTCAGCTTTGATTACAGGCAACATAACCCAATGTAGAAATAACATCGCAGTTATTTCCAGCCCTCCTTATCCACTCATCTTGCTATTGAGGGGGTGGAATAATTTAAATACTGAAGCCAACCCATGAGTCTCGGTGTGAACATATAAGTAATTTGAGAGAGGTGGCTCCATAACACATTCATGGCATTCAAGCTTGCCTTATCCAGAACAGTACTGTTTTCTGTCTCCCATTATGTGTGATTTGTTAAGCACCCCAATATACTGTAAATGCTGATAAATTTTTAACATCAGATTTGCTTGCACCTCCAACTCCAATATTTGAAATGACACCCTTGGATAAAGTTGTCAGGAAAAATTTGTTGCATTGAATTGAATAAAAGTAGGTGATTGTGATGATGCCTTTACTTGGTATTTCACAACACTGTCTTTAAATCTGTCACTAAAGCTGAGTGGCTTCTGGCTTTAGCTGATGAGCTGTGTTGTTGCCATGTCAGTATGTAGAATTTGGATGCGTACACCCAGTACACGTAGCAAGGGCATAGGATGGCAGGTCTGTTTTTTGCAGGTGAGTCCTAAATGCTCGTTAAAACTCAGCATGAGAGACAGGGCAGGATGAAAGGGTAGAAGAAAAATTCAGAGTGAACCATCTCTTCAGAAATGGCAAGTATCTAGAGGTCTTGGCTTGTCAGACTTTGCATGTTGGCCACCAGTTCAACAAATTATTTTTTGATTGGGTTATGTTTTCAAGATATGGAACCTCCTAGAATCAAGTGCCCAAGTGTGAAAGAACGTGTTGCTGAACCCAATAAGCTGACAGTCCGGGTGACCTGGGAAACTCCAGAGGGAAGAGACACCGCAGATGGTATTCTTACTGAGTAAGTTAATAAAATTTAGCAGCTGTAATGCTCTCTTGCTCTCTCCTCTCTTCCTCTCTCTCCCCCTCTTGTCCTTCCCTTCCCCTTCCTTGAAGCCTTGTACATTTTAGGAAAGCACGGGTGCTAAGCTACACATTACCAGCCTATGTTGTCTCTTAGGAAATGTCAGAGCATTTCCTAAATATGAAACATTTCCTACACAGAGTGAGGATGTATGTATGCCAATGTATGTTTCAGACCTAGTCCTTCTGGTCCCCATTTATGTAGCTTATGTATACGATTTTTATTGTCTGTCTTCACTACAATATGTTTAGTACTTTATCCCTAAAGGCAAAAACTGTACCTAGCATATATTTAGTACTTAGTCAATATTTATTGATGGGAGATAGGATGAAAAATAAAAGGGGTAAAGGGGAAAAAAGGAAAGGAAACAAAAAAGAAAGAAGGCAGCTGGTTAATTCAGAGTCTACTTTCTGCTATTGCATACAAAAAGGGTTCCTTCTTATGTCCCCGGGTCTTCCTAACTCTTCACACCCATTGGTAAACCTTCTGTGTCTCCCATACTAAGCCAAATTCTGTTCCCCTGGTTACTCTGTGGTTATGGTGTGATACAAAGCTTTTCTATTCCTTGTCTATTTTCTATTCCTGTTTTAAAACATTTCATGGGGGGTGGGGCTGAGAGATGGCTCAGAGGTTAAGAGCGCTGGCTGTTCTTCCAAAGGTCCTGAGTTCTATTTCTAGCAACCACATGGTGGCTCACAACCATCTATAATGAGATCTGGTGCCCTCTTCTGGCCTGCAGGCACACATGCAGGCAGAATATTATATAAATAAATAATAAATAAATCTTAAAAAAAAAAAAGAATTATAGCCCATGGCAGTTCAGTATCCAAGTGGGTTCCATTGTAATAGGAACAGGGACTGTCTCTGACATGAACTGATTGGCCTGCTCTTTAATTACCTCCCCCTGAGGGGGAAGCAGCATTATCAGGCCACAGAAGAAGACAATGCAGCCACTCCTGATGAGACCTAATTGACTAGGATCAAAAGGAAGGAAAAGAAGTCCTCCCCTATCAGTGGACTTGGGGAGGGGCATGCATGCAAAGGGTGGAAGGAGGGAGGGAACCACGGGGGGGGGGGATACAAAGTGAGTAAAGTGTAATTAATAAAGAAAAATAAAATAAAAAAAACTTAAAAAAAAAGAATTAAAAAAAACTTTTCATTTTTGTTTTTAAACTTCTGAGGTCATCAAACACTTAGAAAAGCTTGTGAGCCAAGTGTTGGTGTCCTCTGACTTTTCCCCACCCAACCCTGTTTTCTCGGCCATTGCATTTATAGTTTCATAACTAGATTAGTAATGGGTAGTCACCATTAGTGTAGGTGAGTCACATGTTCTAATATACCATTTGGACCTGTACCCTCACACTATTTCCCAGGAGACCCCTACTTCATGTCAGCATGTTCATCTATCAGTTAAAGTTCATGGCTCAGTTTGACCTTCAGATGTAGGACCCATACCCGGACAATAACATCCTTCTGACTTATGTCATTTTGGGCCATGAGGCAAGGACAGTGTTTCTAGAATCTTGCTAACGCCATGGGGCTCAAAACAAAACACTTTTGTACACAATTGTTAGCAATAGCATAAAATTTACTAATAAGAGAGGTTAGATCTCTTATTCACATTTTATTCCCACATACTAGTAAGCTCCCTTTATATCATCTACTTAAAAAAAAAAAAAAAAAAAACAGGATTAGGTTTTTTCAGCTGTAATTTCTCAAAGATAAAGTTTGATCATTGAAATATTTACTCTTGTAACATATACAGATTATATTCCCCCCTAGGAGAAACTTTATGGAATTCAGTTTAAAAGCTAAGCCATATGAAAGAAGCAACTCACTGTACACACACGAACATGCACATACAATATGTCTATAGTATACACACATATATATTTACATAAAAATTTCAAAAAAATCAAGTCAGAGTTGGTGTAATTGTGGGTTGGTCCTCATTTATCCTTAACTTGTTACAGTCTTGTGCAATGTCTGACTCAGCCCCTGGAATCAAATCAGTTCTTAGATTTATGGTTGGGCTCCTTGCTTTCCAAGGACATATCCTGGGGCTCCCTTCACCAGTATCTTGCCCAAGCTACTTTTATATAGCTTGCTTCTGAGAGGAAGGAGGTAGTGACAAGCTCTGACACCATTATTTTCATGATGAAATGGAATCTCAGACAAATTAGCAGCTACTCATATTTGAATGATTACTCATTCGGGGTTACCTGGATTTACATTTGCTATCTAAAGATCTTACAATTTTAAGGCATTTAAAGTCAAAAGTAACACATCTCTGAATGATAATATCTCTGACACTTTCCTGAGACTCCTCAGTTCATATGCCTTGTAAGCATGTCCCACCTATGTGTAAAACATTCCTTAATGGTGATAATGATAATTCCACATGCCCATTATCGTCAAATATCATCATGCTTAGGAACTGCAAACAGAAGGTGAGATGTTTATATGTTAAAAATTAACCAAAAGCTGTTATGTGATATGTTATACCTCTTGGTAGTGTTGCAAAATAACTAAGATAGATGCCATAGTCATCCCTTACTGTGCAAATCAAAGCCAAGTTTCTGAGCCTTCTGTTGTCCTTGTTTTCTTACCTTTGAAATGGAGACTTCTACCAACCTCCTAGGAGTTCTATGAGGATTAAATTAAATAATGAAACCATGCCTGATATATATAAGAAGTATATAAAGCAAGCAACAAAGTTTGCTTTTACTATTAAAGTATTAGGACAGCCAAGGATTTGTAGAGAATTTACCATTTGCTCAGAAAGGTCATCACTGACCCAGATAGAAAAAGCAAAGAACATTTTAATACCTATTGAAAGCCCAAAGTGCCAAATGACCGACTAAACTGTGCTCTGAAGTAATTTTTCTCAGAAAGTATTGTGTTACCTGCCCAACAGGAAAGAAATGCAGACTTAGCCTGCAACAAGGGTTCCCACACCCTGTTCTATCTTTCAGTAGCAAACAAACAAATAATTGATCAAAAACGTGAATCTCCCCTCAGTTTGGGAATTCTGTTTTTCTGGTTTCAAATTGCTCTTATAATTTGAAGGGGAACTCAGGGGACCCTGTGCCTCACAGAGCCTTTGTTCTGGGGAAAGGACTCAAAGGCTCCTCTTTAGCAGCACTTCCCTCTCTCCTGTATAGACTCGGACCCCCAAAACTGCTTTTCAGGTACACAGTCATAATCCTGAGTATTTCTGCTTTCTTCCTTAAGTGTTATCCTAAAAGGCCTCCCTCCAGGTTCCACTTTTCCAGAAGGAGACCACAAGATTGAGTACACAGTCTATGATAGAGCTGAGAACAAGGGCACTTGCAAGTTTCGAGTTAAAGTAAGAGGTGAGACTGTTGCTTCCTGGTACTTGTCCCATCACTGGAAAATCAAGCCAGACTGCTCTGAATGGCCCCTATAGTAAGGCTACTGCCAGCTATGCATTAAGTTTTCATGAATCTGACTAAAGCATTCCATCTTTATGCTTGGATTTTGCTATTAGTAGGATACATAAGGAACAGGGCTAGTACCACAGGAGCCCCTCGTTGTCTGTCCAAGAAGACAGATACTTAATAATTTTTCCATCCGCCACTGAGCTAATAACTCAAGTACTTGTAATAACTGAGTGGTTACGGGTTCCTTCTTTTAGGCCACTAAGATGCTATACTCTTTGTTTTTCAGACTTTCGGTCTGCCTGAGAAAATATTTTTAAAAACTCTGTGTTTCAAGGTTTGGACAGCTAGTCAGTACTATTTCCTCTTCAGAGCTCAGTCTCTTCATCTGTAACCTGAGGGGGTAATGGTGCCATCTAAAAAGTGTCACTGGTACAAGTGGTGACCATTCTGGAGCGTTAAAGAATAGCCCTCCTTTCCTTGCACTTATTTCACTAGATGATGTCTAACCTCATAGCAAAGCTGGGGCCTCCCCTTCGCTGGTTACTTTATGGAAGAACACCAGGGTTAAAGCTGCTCTGCATTTGTGTCTCCCGCAGTTAGGCGCTGTGGCAAACTCAATGCTCCAGAGAATGGGTATATGAAGTGTTCCAGTGATGGTGACAATTATGGGGCCACCTGTGAGTTCTCCTGCATTGGTGGCTATGAGCTTCAAGGAAGTCCTGCTCGAGTATGTCAGTCTAATCTGGCGTGGTCTGGCACGGAGCCCACCTGTGCAGGTATGTGTGCAGGTCTTTCTCCAACTGGCAGCAGAATCTGAAAACCCTGATTCCAGGGCAGATAGAAAGTAATTTTCTTTCCTGGACTTCATGAAGGCCAGTGTCATTGGTGCACGTTTGTGTGGGTGAACAGAGGTGCCAAGCCCCTGCTGCAGCCCATCTCATCCCACTTCCCTGTATTGCTTTTTGCCGGTTCTCTGATCCCTCTTTCATGTCTTTTAGGAAACATTCTGGAAACCAGATCTCAGGGCTAGCTTTTAGAGATATTAAAGGCCAACAGACAGTTTACATAACTTTACTGCCCTATTTTACGGCTGGAGGATCTAGTTTTCAAAGCTAGTCTACTGCTGGGTTTAAACAGTATAATTCATGTCTTGCACCATTGGCTTGAAAATCATGCAAATCTTGGACATTTGATTTATTTACCTATCTATTTATTTATTTAGTATTTTTTGAGACAGGTTGTCTCTGTGTAGTCTTGGCTGTCCTGAACTCGCTTTGTAGACCAGACTGGCCTTGAACTCTCAGAGATCTACCTGCCTCTGCCTCCCCAAGTGCTGGGATTACAGGCATGCACCTTATCTTGGCTTATCTTGGGCATTTGAAATCCTTTCTCCTATGTAAAATGAGGAAATCAGACTTCTCATAATCATGGTCATCTATTGAGTGCTGGAAAAGAAAAGTGCCTGGTACAGGATAAGCCTTGAACATATGCCAGAAGTTCTTACAGAGGAACAGCAATTAGGCTAGGTATAGCAGAAAGTATGAAATCTAGACTACCTAGGAAACTCTAGGCCCATTTATATATATATGCTTCATTTTTCCCTCAATCTCAGGTATCTCCACCCCCTTTAACTCTACCATGCAGAGCAGGTGGACGCAACTCTTTAATTTCATACATTAAAGTAGACAAGACACATTTGTGTCAGATTCCTGAGCTAAGTAATTAATGTACATATTTGTGACACTGAGGCCTGGAGTATCTTGTCAAATAATCTCGTGTCTATGTGGTAGCTATTAGTCACATATGGGTATGAAGCATTTGAAATGAGTCTAAATTCAGGTGCGTTGTCAATGTAAAATATACACCAACTTCAAAGCCTTAGCACAATAAAGAATATAAAGCATCCCTATTTTTTTT